TACTACTACTACGACTACTACTACTACTACTACTACTACTACTACTACTACTACTACTACTACTACTACTACTACTACTACTACTACTACTACTACTACTACTACTACTACTACTACTACTACTACTACTACTACTACTACTACTACTACTACTACTACTACTACTACTACTACTACTACTACTACTACTACTACTACTACTACTACTACTACTACTACTACTACTACTACTACTACTACTACTACTACTACTACTACTACTACTACTACTACTACTACTACTACTACTACTACTACTACTACTACTACTACTACTACTACTACTACTACTACTACTACTACTACTACTACTACTACTACTACTACTACTACTACTACTACTACTACTACTACTACTACTACTACTACTACTACTACTACTACTACTACTACTACTACTACTACTACTACTACTACTACTACTACTACTACTACTACTACTACTACTACTACTACTACTACTACTACTACTACTACTACTACTACTACTACTACTACTACTACTACTACTACTACTACTACTACTACTACTACTACTGCTACTACTACTATTACTACTTCTACCCCTACTACGATCCAGCAAAAGACGCGCGAGATCCCAACCGCAATATCTCAGGCGTAAATCTGCTCCTGTAAGGTGTTCATCGCAATTTCAGATAGCAATGAACAAGTATGGTAATATTTCCATATGTTTTCTTGATTCGCTTCCTCCTCGGTTGGGATCTGACCGTGCCTGGTGTTAATGACGGTTGGGATCTGAACCGTGCGGTTGGGATCTCACGCGTCCGGTTGGGATCTGAACCCATCGCGCTCACCGATTGCCAAGAAACCACACCTGCTGGCCAAGAACATCTCGAGCGATTGCGGCAAGGACTTTGGCCGAAGGCAGGCGTCATCCTGAGTTCCGACGACGGCGACGAGTACGCCGCCGAGCGCGACGTCGACGACGGCGGCACCTTGGACGTCATCCAGCTGCAGTCCAGGCGAGTGGCTAGGAGGAGCCCCCCGGTGATCGCGCGGCTGCGGCAGGCTGCTGGCGGGGCAGGGCGCCCCCGCGACGGTCGGGATGTCGGCGGCGCTCATGATGCCAGCGGTGCCCTGGCGTCAGATCGCAAAGCCTTGGTGTGCCAGCGCGGCTACCAGGTTCCGAGGCCACAGGCGTCAGTTCGCAACGTCCTGGTGTGCCATTGCGGCTACCAGGCTCGATGTCGCCACGTGCGCCCAAGCTCGGCATCGATCTGGACGTGGACGACGTGGTGGTCGTGATGCCCGTGGGCCCGCTGAGCGCCACGAGCGCCAGGAGCCCTCGCCAGTTGGCTGCCGGGCTGCCGCTGGCGCTGCCGCTGGCGTGAGGCGCGGACAGCGTGCCGCCGCTGCAGGGGCAGCGCGCGCGGGTTCCGATCACTACGAGGGGCGGCGCGATGGCCAGGGGGGGCAGGGGGGCAGCTCTGGGAGCACCCCAAGGCCCCCCCCCAAGGAAGGCACAGCCACGCGACCGCTCCATGGGCGACATCCAGACGGGCGATGGCGAGGGGGCGCGCACGAACCACGGCATGGTCCACGGCTCGATCCCAGATCAGTTCGAAGTCCCCGTTGATGGAGGCAGGCATAGCCGCGCCCGTGGCGCAAGGCCGCCCATCGCGCGGGTGCACAGCTCGCGCGTCAGACCGCACGCTGGAGGACCTGCATCGGAAGTGCGTGCCTCACTTGCTGCTGATCGCGGTGGTGGTGCCGATCTCGCTGGGGGAGGTGATGAGCGTGGCGTTGTGGTCAGTCATTTCGGGGACTGCCATCGCAGCGCCCACGCCTCGGAACCAAGCCTAGAAGGTCCCGCTGTCACAGCTCGTGACCAGCCCAAATCGGAGCGCGGTGATGCAGGCAGCGACGTGGAGCCCGACACAGCGTCCAGCACCGGGCGGATGGACTTCGAGGCGCTATGGCCCTCGCCCTGGAGCACCCCTCGGACACCATCGCGGACGGCGACTACATGTTGCTGGATTCGGAGCGCACCAGGCACCCCACTGCGGCCATCGTGCGCCGTGCCGCTGCCGAGGGCCGAGGCGCTGCTGGGCGGGTCGCAGCGGGAGACGCTGACGTGGCTGGCGTGGGGCGCTGCAGCGAGGCCACGGGTGCCCGGCAAGACGGGTCGATGGCTTCGGAGGGTGGGCTGGCGATGGCTGCCCTCAATGACACTGCTCACTCGAGGAGCGGCGCGCCTTCTCTAGCTACGGATGCCCCGTCCGCTGCTGGGCCCAGTGATCCAAACAGCGCCCCATCTCGCAGGTGGCTGAGCTGCGACCGGCCCAGCTCGTCTGCATGGTGGGTCCGCATCGCGAGCTCGCTGCTCACGGCAGCCACCGCCGCGCTCAGGGCGGACCTCGGCGCCGAACCCGACGCCGTTCCCGACGCCGAGGCCTTCGTCATCCCCGACGCCGCGCTGGAGCAGTGGGAGCCTGTCGAGGAGACGGACCAGCCCGAGTCGGGCGAGGGCAGGGCGGACCTCGACGAGGAGCCCGACGTCGCCTCCAACGCCGTGGCCGACGCCATCCCCGACTTCGAGGTGGAGCAGTGGGAGCTCGTCGAGGAGCAGGGCCAGCCCGAGACGGCCGAGGGCCCAGGCTCCACGGACGGGGCTGCTGCTGGAGTTGCCGACCTACTTCGCGACGCCGGCCGCGGCCCACGCGCGCGCGGGCCGGCGCGGCCGCCAGTGCAGCCGCCACGGCCGCCCCCGCTGCTGCCCGCCATGTCCTTCGGCGAGCTGGCGCGGCGGGCGGCGGGGCCGCCGCCAACCTGTCGCGGGCAGCGCGGCTGAGGCGGCCAGGCCAGGTTGCCCGCGTAGCGGGCCGCTGGCCAGGCCGCAGGCTGCGGTGCTTCACCACAGATCGAGGGTCCGCCCGCCACATTCCTGTGGGCGTGGGCCCTCGGTCCTGCGCCGCGCTGGGGCGCGCCGCCTCGCTCGCGGATTGCCGCGAGCGGCTGAGCGCGGTGGGCGCGGGGGACTCGCTCGACCGCGTCTCGGTATGCTCCACCCCACTCCACTCCACTCCACTCCACTCCATCCCACTCCACTCCACTCCACTCCACTCCACTCCATCCCACTCCACTCCACTCCACTCTGCTCCGCTCCGCTCCGCTCCGCTCCACTCCTCCTCCTACTCCTCCTCCTACTCCTCCTCCTTCACCCTCCTCCTCCTCCCTCCTCCTCCTCCTCCTCCTCGTCCTCTTTCTGGAAGGGGGGTGGCGATGGAGCTCTGTCTGCGTTGTATGCCTTATACTTGCATATTCTGGCCACAGGAGAGGTTCATCCAGAGTTTAATTGGGCCTGCCAAGTTTACCTGGCCAACGGTGACGCCCCCGAAGATGCCCATCGTGTAGTTAGGCCTCGTGAGGACACTCGCCCCATCACCTTGAGCAACGCCTCGAACAATATTATCAGCCGTGCTCTCAACCGTCCCCTGTCCCGAGTTCGCGAAGACATCTGCGTCTACTTTCAGATGGGTTTTATCCCTGGGCGCCTGGGAACCGACAGTATCATATATTTGAAGGCCAAGCTGATACACTGGATCGCCCAACGAGCTGAATCCCAGGCTGGACTTATTCTTCTAGATATGCGCGCTGCGTTCCCCTCCCTCTTCTACTCGGCCATCTTCTTCGGGCTCAGAGCGATGGGCATTCCAGAATGGTACACCCGTGCAGTGCAGGCGCTTTATTATTCCTGCTGGGTTGTCGTCAGCTTTCGCGGATGCCGTGAGCGCGGATATTGGAGTCGGCGCGGGATCGAGCAGGGGCGCCCCCACAGCGGAAGTCTTTTCGCGTTCACCTACGCCCCGATCCTTAGGTATCTCGACTCCCGTGTGCATCGTGATCTTGGGGCCCCTGGATGTTTTGCTGACGACCTGGGGCTCGCCTGTTCGAACGTCTTCGATGCCCTCGTGATTGTCCTTGCGGTGATGAAGATCGCTGGACCTGCTTTTGGGCTCCACCTGAACCTCAAGAAAACCGCCCTCGTCTTCCCGCTCGGCATCTCCTCGGAGAATTTGGAGCGGTAGCTCAAGAACCGTGGTATTAGAAGGGGTGTCTTCAGCATCCAGAGGACGGGGAGGTATCTTGGGCTCGTGCTCGGGCACGACAGTTCGGCAGAAAGTTGGCCCCACCCGATGTGAAGATATGCCGGCGCGGTCCGTGATATCAGGTCTTTCGGTCTTGGGCTCATGACATCGATTGCTCAGCACACCTCCGTGCTTTCCCGCGGCTGATGTATGTTGGCCAATTCCACGCCCCCTCGGCCACGGCCCTGTCTACCCTTCGCAAAGGACTTGAGGCTCTCGCGGCAGGGCCTCGGAACGCCATCCCGTTCGGGCCCCTCCAGAACTTGCGTGGGCTCGACTTCCCCGTCGAGGGTAGTGATCTCGAGGTTGCCAGTCGAGCCGCTCGATATCGGTGTGCTGTTCATCCGCCGGCGTTTTCCAGGGCACGCGATCTGCTCCTGAGCTTTGTAGATGGTGACGAATGCTGCCCTGCATGGAATGGCCACCCCCTCTGGCTCTCCGCTCTCTCCTGTTCCCTGGTGGCCAACTATGACCTTGTGCTGGCCATCCCGCGGGTCCCCGCTTTTTGGGGGAGTGGGCTCCAGGCGAAGGTGGAGGCTCAGCTAAGGGTTCCTGGCAATGTCCGTGAGCTCCTGCTCCCTCGGATGCGATGGTGGTTCGCATCCGCCCAGGAGTGCCACGTCAATTTCGTGGTCCTCTCCTTCGTCGCCGCCGCCCGCGCCTTCCCCTGCTCTGTTTCTTCTTCTCTCCTTAACACCCTGTGCAATAGTTGGTGCACGATTCGTCGTTTCAGAGGTCCCACCCAAGAGTGCCCTCTGTGCCGTGCCCCCCAGGGTGACGGAGTGTTGCACCTGCTTCAGTGTGCCCTCCTCGCCCCGGTCGCCACCTGCCTTCCCGCCCTCCCCTCTGGGTTTGCCGATCTCTCTGCTCAGGCGAAGGTGTGTCTTTTGATGCTTCCCCTCCCCGACGGGGGTCGATTGTCTATTATGTTGTTGTTCTTCGATTTCCTGTTCACTATATACCACACGCTCAAAGGGCTGCGAACAGGTGATTGGGGCAGCCAGGTCCTCCCTTTCACCAAGGCGAGGTATACCGCCCTCGCCCGCCGCCATCCTCATCTGTGCTCCCTCTCGCTGTTCTCCTTCTGCTCATGACGGGACGGCCGCGCCATGGGGAGTGGCGCTCCTCATCCTCTTTCTCCTCCTCCTCCTCCTCCTCCTCCTCCTCCTCCTCCTCCTCGTGCAGTGGGTCCGAACCATAGCCCGCTGCAGCGGCGTCAGCTGCATGAATGGCTTGCGCACTTCCGCGGAGTAGCGGGGCCATGTGGCTCGTAAGTCCCATGAGACCTTCGGGTCTACCCAGGCGAGGCAGGGCCCCCGCGGGATCTCGTTTGCGCGCGCCCGTCGGTTGGCACCCCATATTGGTCCTGCCGCTCATTTGCTTAAAACCGCTGGCAGGTGAGCCAGGCCACCGCAGCCCTTCGCGGAATCGGGTGGACAACGGGTTTGCGGGGGTCCCGTCAGCGGGGCAGCGAGTCGCTAGGCTATAAGCCCCTACCCAGTGCCAGGGTCCATACGTCTAGCGGGGCTTCTCGTGTTTACCGCGGAATGACTTCTGCGTGCTTTAGCTCCTTCAGTGGCCTGGAGATGGGTACCAGGCACGGGGAGTGTGCATTTGGTTGAGAGGCGGGGAAATGTGGTCCGTAAGTCCCTTGGGACCTTGTGTCCGCTCACCCTGGGGTACAAACCCAGTTGCACATGCCGTCCGATTCGGCAGGGGTGACGGTCGGGAAGTACTGCGCGGTGACGCGGTGAACCGGCTGTCCCCCTACGCACCACGCCGTCTCGGTTGGGCAGCGAGTCGCTGAGCGACGAGGTATCTGCCTTTCCCGTGACCGTCGGTGCTGGCGCCTGCGGGCCCCTTCCTCCTGTCTGGGAGGCCGAGGGTGACGGTTGAGCCTCGCTCGCTGTTCACTTCTTGGATCTAAGACACTCATGACACTCCATCCCCTCCTCCCCCTCCCCACCCACCTCCACTTCCTCCTCCTCCTCCTCCTCCTCCTCCTCCTCCTCCTCTTATTCCTCCTCCTCCTCCTCCTCGGGTCGCCTTCGGCCCCGGGGGAAACCGTGCAGGTCGGTCCTGGAACGGTACCTTCATTCTTTCCGTGCTAATTGGATGTTCTGTTTCATATTGGGGATGGTAACCTTGGATGTTCTGCGCGTTTTGGCCAGCTGGGGGCTCATGTTCTGGAAGGGTGCTCTGCTATCCTCGGTCCGGCTGCAATGGTTTCAGCTGTTTGGGGTCTAGGGTTTCTGCTGTCAGCCATGTGTCTCAGAAGGCGTGGGCCCTGTCTGTAAATGTAGGGCCAGCGTCTTCTCAGAAGCAGCTTCGCTCTAAGAGCCCGCCCCCCCTCCCCCTACGCGCCTGCGTGCGCCGCCCAATGTGGACGATCATTTGGAACCCAACGAGCAGGTGCAAACAAGCCAGGCTGACCAGCAGCAGCCGAGGCTGGGGCCCCGTGGCCATCTATTCGGGGCTCTGGCGGGCAGGGCCAATATTGAGTTTTGGCCGAGACAAGAACCCTTACTGCAAGTGTTGTTCGGGGGTGCGCTCCAGCCACAGTCGAGCTGGCCCAAGCCTACCCTAGCAGGCCCCCCCCTGCGGCCGTTTCGGTGCCGCAGTTTTTTTCTTACCGCGCGGGCGGATCCCATGAAGGAGGCTGCGCCCGTCGTTGCCGTCGGAGAGCAGCGGCCGAAGAGCTACGGCTCTCTGGCCACGGAGGACCGTCTTCAAATCCTGGAGTACCGCGCGCACTTACGCAGCGGTTTGGATCGGAAGCGTTCTGCGCAGATGCTTTTCGTTGGCACTGTTGCGGGATTCTTGGGCTTTGTCTTCGCCTTCCTGATCGGCGTCATCAAGGCGTGCGACAAGGACAAATACGACGTCAACGGCAAGAAGTTTGCCTCGGGTATGAGCTACTTTCCTTCTACTGTGAGCGAGATGGTGCACGACCCCTCCGATCCTGGTGGAAAGTGTTTCTTCTGTTTTGAGCTCACGGGCGCCATCATCCTTTTCATGTCTTCGTACCCCACGATGCTCCGGAACGTCTATCTTGGGGATGATGTCGAGGTCCCCTACATCAAGATCTCATGGACAACCTTCCGCCAGTTCGTGCCCGCTCCTGGGATGATGTTGCTCGCGATCATCACTACCAAGCCTGCTGCGCAAGCACATTATCCGTAAGGGCTTCGCCCCATGCCGCCGGCCCCCTGTCTCGGATAATGGGAGATGCAAAAGCTAGATCATGAGGTCTGGGCGCCGCCGTGAAGCAGTGTCGGGACCTGTTTGTTTTTCGACCCTGACCCTACGGATCTGCGTGAGGGGTGCCACCGAATTTCAGAAATGTGGCCAATTCTTTTTTTTTTGTTGACCATGATCCCGCCGATCTGCATGAGGGGTGCCGCCGAATTTCAGAAATGTTTCAAATCCAATGTGTTTTTGCACCCTGACCCCGCCGATCTGCGTGAGGGGTGCTGCCGAATGTTAGAAATGTATCAAATCTTATTTGTTTGTGGACCCTGACCCTGCCGATCTGCGTGAGGGGTGCCACCGAATTTCAGAAATGTGGCAAATCCTTTGTGTTTTTGGACCCTGACCCCGCCGATCTGCGTGAGGGGTGCTGCCGAATTTTAGAAATGTACCAAATCTTATTTGTTGTTGGACCCTGACCCCGCCGATCTGCGTGAGTTGTGTCACCGAATTTCAGAAATGTGGCAAATCCTTTGTGTTTTTGGACCCTGACCCCGCCGATCTGCATGAGGGGTGCCAGCGAATTTCAGGAATGTGCCACATCTTATTTGTTTTTGGACCCTGACCCCGCCGATCTGCGTGAGGGGTGCCACCGAATTTCAGTAATGTGGCAAATCCTTTGTGTTTTTGGACTTGACCTCGCCGATCTGCGTGAGGTGTGTAATTTTTTACCCACCCCAGCAATTCAGAGCACAAGATTAGGGCGTGCTAAACCTGCCCGTTTGGGCCTCCACCCCCTCGCGCGGTCCATCAATAAGGAACAGTAAGCAGCAAGAAGCAGAACTGTAACAGTGAAAGCTGGAAGCTGCAACTGGTACAGGAAACTGCGAACCCTCGCCCTACAGTCTGGTGGCTCCACAAAGGGGGCGGCGGATTTGGATCAATTCTGCATCCAGTTGCACATGATAGGCGCGCTGATGTTATTCATCGGCTACTTTGTGGTGGAAGCTTACACGGTGGGTTGGGGGCCTTTCAAAAAGCCAGGTTGTAAGGCCCTTGCCGAGACAGAGGGGCAGACAAACGAGTTGAGTCTCCGCAAGTGGTGTCTCCATGGGATCTTTTTTTGGTGGATCACGTTCTGCCTGCTGCAAGCGCTCGTCGGGATCCCAGTGCCGTTCGCCCCCGCAAATCATTTCGACATTTGGGGTAAAATGTACAAACACACAGGCAAGGCATGGCGGATCAACAATGGAGTCCAGCTCATCGATAGCGCGGACTTTGATGTGAAGGTCGTGAAGGTAGTGTCATATCTCAGCGAGGTGTTCTGCGGTGTCTGCATGCTTTCGAGCCATTGGTTGGTCTGGTATTATTGCGAGGAGAGGAACTACGACCTCGCTGAAGAGCTGCCGAGCCTCAAGACACAGCACACTGAATTGAGCCCCGAACTGCAGAGCTCTTTGAGCCCAGGTGACGTCTGATGCGTGGTTACACCGTCCATCTGTGGAAGCGACTGGCCATGTAGTTCAAGACCTTTGCAGCTGCGCGCGCCCCAGAAAAATAGTGGTACTTGCGCACGGATCCCGGACTGTTACAGAGATTCAGTCAGACAACAGCGGCGCGGACCCTCTTGGGCAGTCGCTGAGTGCGCTGCGAGCAGGTGTCAGCATGGTCAGGCCTTTACGGCTTGGACCTTAGGAGCAAAGGCTGGAGTGCAGAAAGGCTGGGACCTGATGGGCGGGACCATGCGGGCAGCCACTTGGAGCCCAGCGCACAGTGTAGGCATTGGCACTCATGTGGGCCCCCAGGAACGAGTGAAACTGCAGGAGCATGCATGCGCTTACGCACGGGTAACCACCTGGACCCACACCAGCAGGGGTAATTACCTTATCGCAGATTAGAGCCGCTTGGTGCAAGCGCTGCTCGGGAGGAAACGCCTCCATCAGCGTTGACTTCAATTTGACACGATGTAACCGAGTAGTGCAACTACGCAAGCAAGCGCCATCCGCATGTGCAGCCGGGGCGGAGCCTTGCCGATCCACGCATGCCCACCAGCCCATCCAGAAACGATCCCAGGCGAGCTGTTTTCATCCGGCGAGCGTTGCAGCTACATCCAGAAGCCAATCGTGTCAGCCAGCGTGGGCCCCAAACAGTGCGTGATTCCACAGTGGAGGTGAACGCTATGTTATGTAAGCTATGTGGTGCAAGCCATGTCGTGTAAGCTTTAAGGTGTGCGCTGCCGAGGTGAAAGCTATGCGGTGCAAGCCATATGGTGCCAGCTGTGTAGCGCAAGGCTTGCGGCATGGACTGGAGGTGGAGTTTCTGGGGCGTAACCTATGTGATGCAAGCCGTCTCGTGCAAGCGACCTGGTGTGAGCTATGTGTCGGGGGAGCGTAAGACCCGGGTTTGCCGGGACTCGGGTTCGCCACCGTTTTTTGACGACCGCGCCTCGGACTTTGACGAGGAGGAGTTTCGCGGGATGTCTGCAGCGGGAGGCCTCGTCAAAATGCAGGCCCGGCCTCGTCATTTTTTTGACGACCTCGTCGGGGATTTCCGAGTCCCCCGTACCCGGGTCGTACGTCTCCCCGAATGTGGCGTGAGGTGTGTGGTGACGCGTGTGCCGTGTAAGCCGAGCGCACGCGGGGCGAGCACGAGGCCCCCCCTCGAGCTGGCGTCGTGGCGGCAGCGCGGCGCGGCCTCGGCGCGCCCCCCTGGGCGTGAGGCGCCCCGCGAGGTGCCCACGAGGCAGCCACGGGGCGCCGGCGCGGCCTGCCCGCCAGAGCGCGGGGGGCGCCCACCCGCGCGGCGGCAGCGTTCAGGAGCGAAAGAAGGACGTACGTGTACATGAATCCACGCTGGTTTCGAGAGCACGCATTGCACAAATGTTCGTATAACGCGGCCGGTCTCGCGAATCGAGGGGCCGTGTTCATGTACATAGGTGGGCGCGTACGTCCTCTGTGGGCTCCCTAAGCGTGGCGGCGGCGTGGCAAGAAAGCTCGGAGCACCCAGCCAGTCCACAAGAGCAGCACCAGCGGCAGCGACAGCGACAGCACCAGCAGCAACACCAACCGCAGCAGACACGACAGCAGCAACAACAACGACAGCGGCAACAGCAACGACACCAACAACAACACCAACAACAACAACACCAGCATCAACAACAACAGCAGCGGCGCCAACAACATACACACCAGCACCAGCAGCAACAACGACAACAACAATAACAACAACAACGCTAGCAACATCAGCAACAACAACACATGCTTTGCCAAAAGCAGTGGGAGCCCCTGAGAGCAAGCAGTAAAGCACTGCGCGGATCTCTCGTCTCTTGGAGGCGTCTTGGAGCCATTACCCATGGTGGCCCCGTCGGGGCCGTTCGGGGAGCCTTCGGGGCACTATTGGGGCACTCTTGGGGCTCTCTGGGGGCCCTCTTGGCGACCTTGGTGGCCCTCCAGGGTGCATCTTGGAGGATGTCGACTGAAGAGAGGGCAGCGCCAATGAGCGCCCCCCTTCTTGGAGCTCGAGCCACCGACTCCTGGAGCTCTCTTCGGACGGTCTTGGACTGGGTCGACCTGGGGCGCTCTCGGGGCCGCCTCGGGGCTCCTCTGAGCCCCTCTTGGGGCTCTCGTGGGTGATCTTTGATCAGAGGAGGAAAAGGGTCCGATACCGCTACCCTTCGGTGCCCAGACAAACAGTGTCCACGCCAACGGCGCGAAGACAATCAGGCATGATGGAAACGACAATTTCAATATACATGTGGCATGCCCCCCTCACCCCCAAAACCAAAGTTGAAGTGTCCACATTTTGTCCCCCAGGCGTTGCCTCGCACCTAACCCGTCAACTTTTTGTTGGGGGGGCGGGGGCTATGGATAGTTGTTCGACGCAGTTCGATGTCGCATCATCTTGGCGCGATGGGTGTGGACACTTTTTGTCCACCCGCCGTTCCCTCGCCACCACGGCCCGGATCCTCCTTGAAATTCTGGTCGGAACGCACCCCAAGAGAGGCCCGTGGAGTAGCGGTATGGGTATCTTTCAGTGCTTCCAGTTGAGCGACCGTGAGGTGCCGGAAGCCAATCGGAAGTGAAACGGCGAGACGGCCAAACTCGTTGCAGCGCAATCTGTCGTTCGACCATGTTGGCATCTCGGGGGTCTCCTTGGGAGGCTCCATGGCCAATCACTGGGAGCCGTCTTGTGTCGGTACTGTGGATCACCGGAGGCACGTTGGCGGTCAGCCTGAGCCGACCCAGGCTATCTTGAGTCATGTTGGCGGCCAATGTTTTGAGCTATCCGAGGCTCGCTTGGAGCCATCTTGGGTCATCCTGGACGCTCTACGTCCTCGCGCCTTCCCCCGCCCAGGCCCATGGGAGGGGCCAGGGCTCGAGCAAAACGGTGTTTTGGCGATTTCGTGGACCTTGTTCGGCTTGATTTCTTTCGTGCTGTCGGAACGGTTGGAGGGGGGGGGGCGATCAGCAGGAGGGGGAGGAGGAGGAGGAGGAGGAGGAGGAGGAGGAGGAAGAGGAGGAGGAGGAGGAGGAGGAGGAGGAGGAGGAGGAGGGAGGAGGGAGGAGGAGGAATGGAATGGAATGGAATGGAATGGAATGGAATGGAATGGAATGGAATGGAATGCCCAAAAGGGGAAGTGCACAGCACTACGGTCTGAACAGATCAGAGTGATGTCCCCCAAAGGCGGAACGAAGACAGAACGAGGAACACCGTGAGCAACACGAGAACGAAGCACGCCGTTCAGCTCGAGCCCTGGGAGGGACTTCCCCGAGCAGAGCGGCCCACCCCCTCCGGGCAGCGCGGGCCTCCAGGCTATACGGAATTGCCCGCCCGCCGAGACGGCCCCTGGAAGGGCCCGGTCGGGCGGAGCACGCGGCCGGCGAGGCGACCGCCAGGACGGGCCCAGATCGCTCCAGGATCGCCTCAAGATCTCTCCAGGCTCGCTCCAAAACCGCTCCAAGATCGCCCCAAGATCGCCCCAAGGTCGCTCCAGGATCGCTCCAGGATCGCTCCAAGGTGGGTCGACATGGCCTCCAGACGTCCCACGGGGCCCCTCAAGGCTGCCGAAGTGGGCCCACCGAGGGCCATCGCGAGAGCCTCAAGAGGCTACAATTGTACAGGTTCCTTGGATGGTCTGTCGTTTGCGTCTTTCTCGCATCTTCGGTCTTCCAGCCGCCCCAGGCGGCTGGAGGAGTCTCCGAAATCGGTTCAAGACGGTCCAAAAGGCGCCCAAGAGGGCCCCAGAGGCCGCCAAGAGGCCCCCGAGACGGCCCCAAGAGACGCCCGCCCATGAGTCCCATAAATCCTTCGAGGCGAAACAAGCCTGGCCCCTTGGCGCCAAGATGGCCCCTAGAGGCCATCAGCGTTTCCCGAGAGGTCCTCAGAATCTCCCAGGTGGCCCCCAGGAGGCTCCAAGAGGCTGCCCAGAGGCACCACGAGTGGCTCGTGAGGCAAACATCGGCATCGTTGAACCAATCCCCGTCCCCATCCCCTTCGAGACCCCCATCCCCATCCCCATCCCCCGGATACACTCCTCGAAACCAGAAGGGAACGACCTGTGTCTCCATCTAGGGGGCAAATCGGCCAGTGGGGCCCAGGCCACGCCGCTGGGGATGGGGATCGGTGAAACGATACTCGAAACGTCTGCAGGTTTCTCTTGGCCTTTGATCGGTTCCTGCATCCTCGCACTCTCTCGGCCTCCCGACGGCGCGACGCGGACCGGGGCATGCGCCCGAGGCGCTCAGGCGCCCCGAGACCTCTCCACGTCGAATAGATCGGGGGCGGAAAAGAGGGGGGTGAAGACTTGGGGGGGGGGATATCATGGCGGGGGCCATGATGTTTCCCCAGATTTCATGGCGCCTCTTCTTATTTCATTGCGTCCCTGGCCCCCCCGCTGGGCCGCGCACATACCGCCGGTCATGATGTCCACCCCCCCCTCTTGGACACCCCCCTCTTGGCCGCTCCCGAATAGAGGGCACCGGAGATCCCAGCTGCCCTCCAGCAGACGACCCCGGCAAGGCCAGGCAGGGAGGCGCGGCGAGCGAGAGGACCGCCGAGAGGACCGCCGAGATCGCCCGGAGACTGGTCAAGATTGCTTCCAGACGGCGCACGTCTGGGCCTCGTAGATGGGGTCGGAGTCGATGGGGTCGAAGGATCGCGCCGCATCGTCGATGCATCGCCGATGCATCGCCGATGCATCGGCGATGCGGCTCGATGCGGAGTCCGATTTTCTCCACGCCGACGTCGCCGATGCACCGCCGACGTCACCAGTGCATCCCCGATGCATCGGCGATGTATCGCCGATGTATCGGCGATGCGGCGCGATCCTCCAACCCCATCCACTCCGACCCCGTCTAGGAGGCCTCTGGCACGAGACCCACGAGACTGCCCACGAGGGCCCACTCCGCAGCCATCTTGGCTCAGGCTTTTGTTGTTGGTCTTCCGGCCCGCCCCGCTGCGACCGCAGACCCGCCCGCAGGCGGCCCTCGGACGCCCTCAATGGCCCGCTCCGCTGCGCCCCTGCTGGTCGCCGCCGTGCTCGGCTTCGCGGCGCTGGCGTCCACCGTCGCCTTCGTGCCCCCCGCGGCGGAGGCCTCCCATCGGGTGTAGCCAGGACCCCAGGGAAGGGGACCCGGTGAGTGGTAGGGCCCTGGAGCCCCTCAAAGTTGGCCAGAATCACTGGGCCAGGTCTGCCGCAGCTGGTGCTTTTTCGGGTGACGGCAGTTCCGGTGAGTGGAACAGGGCGGGGGGGGGGGGCGTCCCCCACATCCCTAAGCCAGGTCCCACTAAACCCCGTTCTGCTAACGCCCGATCCCAGGCCCCAGCGCTCCGCGGCGGCGCCGCCACGGCCGCTGCCGCGGTATACGGCGGCCTCGCCGCCGCGGCGCCCGAGCCGGCGGCCGCGTGGTCGGAGCAGGAGCTGAACAAGGCCGGGCTGTTCTTCAGCGTCTTTTTCGTCTTCTTCGTGGCGGGCCTCGCCCGCATGCTGACTGTCGGCAAGCTCTGAGGCGACCCGCTCGCAGGCATCGGCCTGCCAGCACCCCTCCTCCCCCTCCTCCTCCCCTCCTCCTCCTCCTCCTCCTCCTCCTCCTCCTCCTCCTCCTCCTCCTCCACCGACCCCCCCCCCCTGTCTCGTCGGCCAGGTTTTTGGAGGCCGACTGCTAGGGACCAGAGCGGACGGCGCCAGGCTGCGTGCCGTCGCGGGCCCGCGGCCAGAAAAAAAAAGACTGCCCGAGAGGGCCCACCGAGTTTCCTCGCGAGAGCCTCGATCAAACGACGCGAAGATCGGGACAAAATCGGATCGGGATAACTCGAAATCTCTGAGAATCGGCGGGTTTGGAGGATGTATTGGGCGCCGCGGCCGCTCCAGAGCGTTCCGGAACGCTCTGAGAGCGCTCCGGAACGCTCTGGAGCGATTTATCCCGATCCTAGCCCTGTTTTACTCGAGAGGGCAGATGCGCATCTTTGTAACTTAGCGCATGTTCGGCCTTCCGTCTTGGTCTGCCGTGCCGGTGCGTCGTAGCGGCTTGCCGTGCTGGTCTGCCATGGTCCTTGTTGGTGCGAGCCTCCCTGATCCGCGTGCCGCTCCCATTCGACTCGCGCTGGTCTGTCGTGCTCCCGTCCTGGCTGGTCTGCCGCGATGGCCTGCCGTGCCGGTCAGCTGAGAACGAGCAGACCAGTCCCCACGAGGCCCCCAAGAGGCCTCCGAGAGGCATAACTCGGCGCCGGGGGCATCTTGACCTCCAGCACGGCAGTCGAGCGAACGAAGAAGGAGCAAGGCGGACCAGAACGGCAGACTTGCACGGCAGACCATTTGGTACAACGCGGAGCGTTGCAGACAAGCTAAGCGACACGAGGGAACAAACACACACACACACAGACAGACACAACTAATCGCTGATTCCCAGGAAATGATTGAAGCTATGGGAAGTGGAGGGGAAGACGAACATCGCGAGAACATTGAGCATATGGGGGATCGTCGGATTTGTGCCTATTATTTCTTTGTGTGTCCCTGGGCCCCTTCACGAACGGAGAATAACAGACCAGCGCGACATCTCGGCACAGCAGCCACACTTGCCGGGCTGGGTACCCTCGCCTTCGGTGATCTTTGCTGAGGCGAACATCCTCCGCCTGCTCCTGCTCGTTCCTGTTTCTCTTCCTCCTCCTTCCCTGTAGGAGGGCAGATCTATCTACAATAACATGAAGGCCTTCATCCGGTACATGATCTCGTCCAACGTGGGCGAGGTCGCCGCGTGCTTGTGTATGTGTGTGTGTGAATGTGTGTCTGATTTGTGTCGTGTCTTAGGAGGAGGATGAGGAGGATCGGAGAAGGAGGAGGAGGAGAAGGAGGAGGAGAAAGAGGAGGAGGATAAGCAGGAACAGGAAGTGGATGATGATGATGAGGATGATTTATATTTGGATCGGATTTGTAACGTTGGAATGTCCCTCCTGTCTGGTGGTCTCTGGCCCCCGCCATTTCTGCCTTTTCACGTAGACCTTTGCGTATCCTGTAGAGGAGGGTGAGGAGGAGGAGGAGGAGGAGGAGGAGGAGGAGGAGGAGGAGGAGAAGGATGGGGAGGTGGATGACCTTTTCCGACCTTTGCGCTTCGCGTGGCCGTCCAAAGAGCAGCGGCTTCGCCGGCCAGTTGCCGTTTCCGACTCGGCATCCAGGGGCATCCACATTCACCGATCCGTACCCCGAGTGAGGAGGAGGAGGCAGAGGGGAGGGAGACGGAGGACGGAGGAGGGGAGGAGAGACACTGATTCTCAGGGAAACCAGCTACTCGATACTAGGTGGCTGTATTCCAGGGCATGGCCTGGGCCCCTCGAGAACCTGGTCGCGCTGGGCTTGGAGTCAATTCAGCTTCCATGCTTACCTTTGCGAGCGTTGATCTTAACAAGCGCCAGCTCGTTTGCTTTCTTGCGCTCGCACATGTTCCCCCCCCCCCGATGCCATTCTGACTAACTGTCCGAAGCCAGGGAAGTCTCCTGGACGCCAACCTGCAGGCCCTGCAGGCTTAGGCTTTCTTTCACTGGCCACGGCCGATGGCAGGATAGACTAGGAGATGCCAATCGGCGTTCGTCACTTACAGTGGGTGCCAGCCGCTGCAATGACCCCAGAGCGAGGGAAGATGGTAGGAGGATGCATCAGCATGCCCTCGCGTCAAGCAAGGAGCCGCCTTTACGACAACACATACATGAATTCCCATACACATGCAGCTGCTTTGGATCAGCGCTGACTGCACTGTCGATCCATGACTCCCCTGAAGGAGATAGTCTTAACTAAACCGCACCTGGAATCGCCCACTACTGCGGGCAGGCCAACACACCAACCACCCTTGCCACCACCAAGTCTTACTCGCTGCTGCCACGCCTGACTGGTGCCTTGTCAAGGAGCAGGAGGAGGAGGAGGAGGAGGAGGAGGAGGAGGAGGAGGAGGACGGAATGATGAATTTGCAAAGAGGCCGGACGAGGTGAGGTGATGGAGGCCAGGGAACACTTATTCCGCGGACATCTTCCAAACGGGGCGGTACGACTTACAGCTGGCATGGCTGCTGCGTCCTAGCTGGTAATGGAGCGATGCTGCGCTTGACTGCGGATGCCAACCACGCGCCTGGCGGCACTGGAAGGAGGCACCGAACGTATGTGTGCGGGGACATAGGAGCTACGGCGACTGTCAATTGCTACCACAATAGGCTGGACGCATGCTCGCATCTGCCGCGTTGGAACTGCTCGCAGAGGCGTGCCCACTTCGCCGCGGTGGCACGTCTGGCGCGCGCGTCGCGGCATACGGCGAGCACCGGCAGCTGTGTCGCCTCGCTCCCCCGACGTGCTCCTTCACTCCTAGGGAGAAGCTGCGCCAGCCTGGCGCCGTGCACGAATTGGCAGGGGAGGCGGAGGGAGCACAGGGAGGGATCAGAGGGAGGGAGGTGGAAGGCGGGCGGCCCACGGACGCGCCTCCTTCAGCGGGGGAAGGGGAAAGGGAGGAGCGAGAACAGAAGAAGCACAACAAGAACCACAAGAAGACGAACACTAATACTTTTCATAGTAACCATGCGGGTGCGAGTTGTGTTTCAAATGCTACTAAAAACTGATAGCACTATCCGTGCACCGAAAGATACAACACCAAGGACACGAATGGTATCAACCACAGGACAGGAGCATGGAGGAGGACGAGGAGGAGATCGGAGAGAGAGGGCTTCGAGGGCTCTTGAGGTTTCGACGGAGTTCCAGGGTCTTCGGTCGCAGTCTGGGGAGGGGGGGGGGGGCTCCTCGGGACAGCTCTCCGCCTCTCCGGGGGGGTCGACCCGCTGCCGCGCGTGCGCGAGCGTGCCGAGGTCTCGTCGGGAGCCCCCCCCCCCCCCCTGCGGGCCTACGCGGCCCGGCCGCGCCTCGGGCGGGCGAGCGGAGGCAGCGCGGCGGAGGGGCCTCGGGGGGAAGGGACCCGGCTGCTCGGCGTCCCTCGGGCGCGCGCGCTGTCTCTCGGCGAGGACCCTCGAGGAGCATCCCTGGATCAGACATCGCGATACAAAAAACAGCAAAACTGAGCAAGAACAGAACAACCAAACGCGCACGACACCGACAACAATACGGGGCACGCAAAACGAAGATCAGCAACAGCAAACAAAGACAGCACAAGCACACACAAAAACAACGAAAATCAGCAATGCAAACAAAAACAACAACACGTCAGATACGCGCACGACGCCGAAAACAAGCAGACAAAATCAACAAACAAACGGGGCACGCACGGAGCCGACACGCGCGCACGCACGGGGAGGGCGGACGTGCGAGCCACGGCCAGGCTGTGTGTGCGGGGGGGGCGGCCTCGGTGCCACAGGTGCCTCCCAGGAGGGGCTGGAGCAGAGGGTGATGGGCCTGTCTTCCACGACCGCTGCCATTAAGCCGGGCTTGCCCCTCTACAGGAGGAGTATCCTAAACTGGTTTAAACAAATAGTATGCGGACGATGTTGTGACTATGTTTGAACCTTTTGAAGCACTGTTGGGGTAGTTTTTAGTTTTTCGTCCAAAATCCCGCTGTAGGGGGACAGGCCCGACCTAACCGTACCATAAGTAGGAGAGGGGAGGGGGTCCTCCTCCTCCTCCTCCTCCTCCTTCCTCCTCTCCTCCTCCTCCTCCTCCTCCTCCTCTTCCTCCGCCTCCTCCCCCTCCTGCTTCTTCCTCCTCCTCTCCACCTCCTTCCCTTGCTCTCTAACTCATGGTTGTGGTAGTGGACAACGGGCCCATCAGATGGGTGCCGCGGCCGACCTGCGTTGGGGGCCCGTCGGCCACCACTACGGATCTCAGCAACGGTTTGGGTCACCGCGTGGTCGAGAGGTCCACTGCGGATGCCTTCGGGCCCACACCGAGCAGCGCCCGTGAGGTATACCGTCAAACCGCATAGCAAGGATGGGCAACCTCACCAAGGGTACTCCAGATTTCGTAATAAAAGGGAGGGGGTCTGGACCCTCCAAGACAAGCCATTTCAGACCCCCCCCCCGTGGGAGAACACTCCAAAACATCGTCCCCAGACCCCCAGACCCTCCAAGATAGCCTGGAAGAGACCCCCCCCGAAATGAGACCCCCCTCCCTTTATTACGAAATCTGGAGTGCACTTGCATCCTGGCCTCCACGGTTCATCCTTGGCTGCTTTCGCGGGCCGCGCCCCGCTCGAGACGCTTCGACACGGCCTTCCAGGCCCCCGACGCTGCAGGAGTGCCGCGGTGCGCCGTCGAAGTGCATCGTCGACCGCCGGGACCCTCCTGGCAGGAAGTTCGCCCCCCTCCTCGCCGATGCGTCGGCGATGCTGCGCGATCTGGAGCCGTGCTGTTTCTGCTGAGTCGCGCATGGCGGCGACACCGGCGGCGGCGGCGGCGGCGGCGACGACGACGACGCGGACCACAGGAAGGCTCTCGGAAGGCTCTCGGAAGGCTCTCGGGGTCCTCTGGAGAAGGCCCTCGGAAGGCTCTCGGAAGGCTCTCGGAAGGCTCTCTAGGGTCTCTTCGGAAGGCCCCCGGGTCCTCTGGAGAGGAATTCTGGGCCTCTTGGGAGCCTCCTGAGGGCCTCTTGGTTGAGTTCTCTATCGTGCGTTCTTATGATGAGGGTTGGATGTAGATTGCGGCACTGCGGGGGCGCAGGGCGGGCTGGAGGCCACGGGCGAACGAGGCAGAGGAGCGGGGGAGCGGGCAGATATCGGGGAGCAGAGCAGTGGATCCGGACTGGTGGAGACATGATACAGTTAACCCATATAGTAAGGATGCGCGGTGATGATGCGAGGGCCTTGGGCGCCCATGCCGAGGCTCTTCGAGCGGGGCTTGCCATCGAAAGCGGGTGAGGATGTACCAGAGATGACCGAAACGAGGCAAGGATACAAGAGTACGCTTGGGAAGCCGATCATCCTTAACTACAAGCTTGACCGCACGGAATGCCACATGCTTCCTCACCTCCCCTGATCGAGGGGAGACAGCAGGGCTCGAGCTAAGCCGTGTTTTGGCGATTGGGTGGACTGTTTCCGTTTTGATCTCGTTTTGCACACGTTCTGTGGTCGCTTGGAGGGGGGGGTTAGAACCGAACCCCCTCCCCCCTGGATGGAGGTGGGGGGTTCGAACCCCTTCCCCGGGGGGGGTTGGAAGCGGACCCCCCTCCCCCCTGGATGGAGTGGGG